ATAGATCTATCTTTAAAAAGAGGTTATGGAAAATATAGAAGTGGAGAAAATTGTTTTTATATACCAACTTTTGAATTTTCATGAAATATATATTTCTATCAAATACATATTTCAAATAAACTTAAATGAAATCTGGATTTTTAAATTTAAAGAATAATAAACCTGCACCTGTTGATGTATATTCATTTCTACTACGTAAGTACATTTCATTGCGTACAGAACTTCCATTATTCCATGGACTTAGAAACAAACCATTTCCTGCAGCTCTGACTTTAACTCCTTGCCCATTCTTTTTGAAGTATCAATACTGTTACCAGAAATTTTATTAACAACAGCATTTCCAGCTGTTGCATCTACTCCTGTTAATAGTTCTGTAGCATGTGATGGAATAACTTTCGACATTATAAAACTTCGAGCTGTATCTTTTAAAGCTAAAATCTTACCGTTTTATATATGTAGATTTTTTATTTAGATTTTTTTTTTTTAAACATCTATACTTTAGGTTCTTCTAAAAAAATCAGTACTTAATTTATGAATATAATTATTTATATCAGCAATATCATAGCTTCCTTTTGGAATAGTCATGTCTTTTTAAGTAATTCCATTATTTGGACCCTATCTAAAATTATTGTTTGAAGAATCAATATTTGGAAAGCTGTAATAGGTTTATAATCCAACTAAAGCCATTTCATAATCTATATTATCATCAAGTTCAATAAATAGACCAAATCTATTTCTTATTTTTGTACTATTTCCTGTTATCGTTTTATAAGACAATTTATATAGAAAAGATTTTTTTATATCATTTTAAAATAATATAAAAAAAAAAAAACAAATATATACACGATTTTTTATATTCTTTTTATAGATAAAAATCTACAAAAATCCAGATTTATTTTATTCAGATTCTTCTTCAGAATGGCTTTTCTCATTCAGATTCACTTCCAGATTCTAAATCTATATTTTCTATTATTTTAAACCTTGAAATTTTTTCATAAATAACTGCGTCAATTAATTTAAATTGTATAGATTGAATCATTGCACTAATAAAACACTTTAAATATTTAAACAACCAACAACATCACATCTTTTTTTAGTAAGATTATGTCCTAAAATTTCATTTTCTTTCTAAAAACAGATTCTATCCTTAAATCGTTACCTTCTGTAGATACTTTTGCATAAATAACTGCTCTATATTTTAAAATATTTAAGTTATCTATATTAAAAGTTTTTATTCCTCCTTTTTTTAACTTTAATTGAATTTTTTCAACTTGACCTCTACAAAATTTTTCAATAGATTTAATCATAGCATCAAATCTTTCTTCTTTTTCAGTTTTTACTTTCATTTCATCAAAAGAAACAATTTGAATTGAATATCCGGTAAGTTTAGTTTTTTTTATAGTTTTTGGATCTCTATTTTTACAAACTCCATATAAAAATATTTTTAAAGTGATTACCCTTGAAAATCCCTTACCTGTTGGATATCTATAACCAATCATAACTTTTTGATAAGGAACAGGATTATCAGATTTATATACTTCATCAATATATGATTTTGACTCATCGAAGTTTTCAATCTTTACATATGACACTTTATATATAAAAGATTTTTTTAATATAATTTTTAATTGTATATTTTTTTATTGTATCTTTATTGTATTGTAAAATGATATAAAAAAAAATCTTTGTATATATAAAATGTCTTTAAATGTTCCAATGCATAATCTTATAAATAAATCTCAAAATGTAGAACCTTCTCCAGTTATTTTCAAACCATATAAAGATTTGCAACATCCATCGGTATTTATGAATGGAAGATGTGAAATATTTGCACAGCAAGATTTTGTAATAAAATCTAGGTCACAACAAATTATTGTTTTAAACTGTGGAGTAACAATAAGAACAGGTTTTGCATTAGTTGTACTAAAAGAAAAACTTTAAACCAATGTTAAGTTAATCAAATTCTGTAGTAGCAGAGTCTGTTGATGATATTTTAGTAAGTATTTATAACAAGGATATGTTTGATGTAAAAAATAAAAAAGGAGAGAGTTTTAGCTTTGTTTTATGCTTTGATGGACCTTTGCATCTAATAACTACTGGTTACATAAATTTTATTGATACAAGCACTAGATCTATAAGTACTACATATAGGAGTAAATAATCTACAAGTAATTCATTTACAAGTAATCTATCTACTAGTAATTCATCTACAAGTAGTTCATCTTCGAGTACTATTATATTAGAGAAATTAATTAAAAAAATATATATTTCTTTATAAAAAATGGACTTTGCCAAAAACACGGAGTACAATAATATGGAATGTAAAAATATATATCTAAATCTAAGCCACTTGCTAGTTGATCCAACTGCACCAGCTGAAAATCAAGCTCATGTATTTTGCATACAAAAAATTAGAGAGATTCAAAAATAAATAAAACGCGAGAGAGAAAGAAAAAATATGTTAAGTAAAAAGTATCAAAGAGATGTATGAATAATTTCAACAACTGACAATGCATTATTCGCAAGCACTATGGCAATTGGAACTATTGAAATTGGTTTTTTGAACAAAAATAATTCCAGAACCACTAGTTATTGCATATGAAGGTGTAGCATTAGAAGCAGGTTTGTTATCATTATAGATGGATAAGTATATAAAAAATTAAACTTAAAAGCAGAAAAACATAAAAAGATTAAAGTGTAAGCTGATGCAAAACTAAATACAATAAGCAATCATATATCTAAAGCTTTAGTAGATGGAAATATTGATGATAATGAATTTAAAAATATAATTTAAAAATTTGATAAATTTCAAATCATGATTGAACAATTTAGAACAAAATCTAAAAATGAAACTGATTAACAAACTATGACATCATTACTTAACCAAGAAAGAAAAGAAACAATAAAAATATTGAAAATAGGTTTTGTAAGAGTTAAAAGAACGTAAAGCAAGTTTAATAAAGAACATAAATCATGTTTAATAAAAAATGTAATCACGTTTAATAAAAACATAAATTGGAGTAGTAAAATCAGCTAAAACACGTTTTTAAGTTTCTAATACTAATTTTAAAAAATATTGTATTTATAAAAATGTCATTTTTAAAAATTACAGTTCCGAAAAAAGAGTAAAATAGTTAAAGAATTCCTTGAAACAAATAAAAAAATACGGTAGAATTTTTTAGATAAAAGTTAGGTGATTATATATTCCAGACTGACTTTACAAAAGTTTTACAAGCCAATAATTGATAGTCAGTCTGGTTTAAAAATAATTTTTCTTAATTTGAAGATAAAGCTAATAACTTAACACTCTCCTTTTCAACTGCTTATCCTGGAATAATGGCTAAACCTGAAACTAAAGAAATAATTTCACCTATTAATGAAATTGAAATATTAAAATTGGAGAAAATTACAACAGATTATCTAAGGTTGTATACTACTAGTAAAAACACAACGGATACTACATTTAAAATACATTCTTAAGATGATAAACTATATCTTGGACAAAAATAATATTAGATAACAATAATGATATAAAAATAAATGGTAAAGCATACATTGGAACTCATGGTCTTTGGGAGTTAATAACAAAAACTAGTCCTTATAGAGATATACATAATCGAGATGATCTTAAGAATTATGAAAATATTTTAATACAAACAAATGCAATTTTTTCTGACAAGGTCACCTAGAAGTATAAAATACTTAAACATAATAAAACTAATTATTAGAGAAATCAGCAGGAACAGGAATATCAACTATAATTTTTCCTAGTTATCCAAATGCACTAACTGAAATGCTTGCATTAAGTATAACTGCATGGAAAGTTGGTAATACTGTTGTTAGAAATGAAGCTGTTGCAATTTGTGATGAATTAAAACAACAATGTGTGATCAATGATGAAAAGTAAAATGCAATACAGAACTATTTAAAACCAATTTAAGAACAATTTTAAAAAAATATATAGTAAATAAAATGTTAATTGTACAGAACAAGAGATATATAAACTGTTATTGTCATGTTATTATCATGTTATTGGTGGAAGTGAAATATTTGATAGCATTAAAAATTTATTTAACAAAAATTTATGTAACAAAAGTATCATCTACTATGTTAAATAGGTTAGCTGCTAGTGACTTAAAAAATACTGCAATAACTGCTGTTAAGTCAGCAGGAAAAAAACTTGCTACTAATGCAATATCTGATGTTAAAGATGTTGCGAAAAACAAAAGAAAACAATTAATTCAAATAGCATTAAATAAAACAATTTCAATTAAAAGTTAAGAAATACTTTTAGGTTTGACTAAATCTGGATCTAATGATCTAAATAGTGTATCTGATGAAGTCCCAAATATAAATAAATTAATGATGGGATCAGCAATAAATTCTAGATCTGAAAGATCCATGCTTCGTTGAAAGAAAATTTCAAATGCGAATGCAATTAGAATAGAAGATTTAGTTAAAAAAAGACGTTGGTTGAGATTAGCGTAACTTTTTAATAAAACTTAAAAATCCAGATTTCATTAGAACCTTATATTCAGATAAGCATAGCTAGTTACATGTTGTTTTTTTTATATATTAGAAAGTGATATAAAAAAATTATCTTCTATATAAACAAATAGAGTGGCAGCTTTTGACGTATTAAGTTTTGCAGAAACCTCAATTTTAGATGAAGGGATAAAAAGATATGATTTCCATGAATATGAGCCATTTGCTTGTACAAGTCTAAATAACGCTAGAGAAATAAGTAGTTAGAGAATGCCGGTTCTAGCTCATTTTCATTTTCAACCATATTTTCAACCATATATTAATATTAATATATGGTTCAATGTTATCCCTATTGTGTATAAATTATTTAGATAAGAAATAATTTTTTTCATTTTTAAAAATGAAAAAAATTGAATTTTTTTAAATAAGTGTTAATATTTATTTCTTGTTTAAAAGTGTCACGTGATTTTCTTGCTGTGACGTCACATGACTTTTCTTGCTGTTTTTGTACCTTTTTATTCTATAGAATCTAAATATTCAAGTACTTCAAGGTGATCATTTTGAGCAGCAATTGATTTTGCATAAAATGTACCTTTATATCCTAACGAATCTAAATATTTTAGTACTTCAAGGTGACCATTTTCTGCAGCATAATTAATTGCACAAACTGTTCCTATATATCCTATAGAATGTAAATATTTAATTACTTCAAGGTGACCATTTTCTGCAGCTAAATCAATTGCATTTTCTGTTTCTCTATATCCTAACGAATCTAAATATTTAGTTACTTCAAGGTGACCTTTTTTTGCAGCCAAATTAATTGCACAAACTGTTCCTATATATCCTATAGAATGTTAATATTTAATTACTTCAAGGTGACCATTTTCTGCAGCATAATTAATTGTATGTTCTGTTTCTCTATATCCTATAGAATGTAAATATTCAAGTACTTCAAGGTGACCTTTTTCTGCAGCATAATTAATTGTACGTTCTGTTCCTCTATATCCTATAGAATGTAAATATTTAATTACTTCAAGGTGACCTTTTTCTGCAGCATAATTAAATACCCATTTAGACTTCTTATATCCTATAGAATGTAAATATTTTAATATTTCAAGATTATTTGATGCAGCAGAAATTGTATCTTCTGTTCCTCTATATCCTAACGAATGTAAATATTTTAGTACATCAAGACGGTTATTTATTATTGCAGAATTAATTACTAAATTTATACATGTATATCTTATAGAATCTAAATATTCAACTACTTTAATGTAGTCATATTCTGCAACATTATTAATCTGTACCATTATATTTTAATAAATATAGATATTTATGTACTTCAAGGTCACCATTTTTTACAGCAGTAACAATTGCCCAATCTGTACCTTTATATCCTAACGAATGTAAATATTCAAGTACTTTATGGTCACTATTTTTTAAAGCAAAATCAATTGCTTTTTCTGTCCCTTTTTCTCCTATTTGAACTAATAATTTAATTAAATCAATTCTTCCTATATCTGCAGCAAAATCAACCTTATTACCCTGTTTAAACCCATATTTTTTTAAAATTTCATTAATCTTAAAATTATTTTCTAATTCCATTCTTTTTATATATAAAAGAAAATTATTTAACTCATTTTCAATTTTTTCTATTTTTACAAAATAAAATAATTAAAAATATTTAATTATGTGTACTTTCATCATCTTCATTAACATATTCAGTAGTTTCTGTAATTTCAGTAGTTACTGTAGTAATTGTAGTAACTTCTTCATCTTCATCTTCTTCAGAATCTGATTCTTCTTCATATTCAGTAGTTTCTGTAATTTCAGTAACTTCAGTAGTAGTAACTGTAGTAACTTCAGAATCTTCAGTCATTTCAATATCATGAGTATCAATAATATTTAATTTTTCTTCTATTAACCTTAATCTTTCATCTATCAATTTAAAGTTTAAGCATAATTCTTCAAGTTTCTTTTCTAGATCCATTCTTTTATATACATAAGAAAATTAATTTAACTTATTTTAAATTTTTTTGATTTAAAATATTTTATCAAATAATAAAATAAAAAATGAATTATGATGAGATTAATGAAATATCTGAATTTCAAAAAGAATTTAGACTTTTTGAAGAAATGAGAAACTTTGAATTTGAAGAATCTGATTATGACTCTGAAAATGATACTTATTTTATATCTGATGATTCTGATGAAGATGAAATTCAAGAAAAATGTATAGTTCCAATTCCTTCAAAAACAGTAAAAATTATGGAATTGTATAAAGATAAACTGAAGTGGATTAATTATGTTCCAACTTATAATGATATTACCGATGATGATTATCCTACTATAGATAAGTTTTTTGTTAAAAAACATTACAAAAATAGAAAATTTAGTTCTGAAGAACCATTTAATATTAAAATTAATTTTACTGAAGATGGAAAACCTTCTTCAATTCATTTTGTAGAAAAGTTACCTATTTTTTGTAAAAGTATATTAAAAGATGATTTTTGCCCTTTTGGAAGAAAATGTAAATACAATCATGATATTCCTTATTGTAATACTGTAAAAGAAAGATTAATATGCACTAAAGCTTCATGCAGATATAAGCATATTTCTATATGTTCAGAATATCCTAAATGCAAGAATAAAGAGTGTAGATTATTTCATCCTAAAAAGTCAGAATTATTAAAATTAAGAAAAGCAAAAACTAAATTATGCAAGTATATTCTTGATAAAAAAGAGTGTCCTTTAAAAGATAAATGTAAATATGCTCATACTAAAGTTGAAATTAAAAAAAACGTAGAGAATTGTCCTTTTAAACTATGTAAATTAACAGAAAAGAAAATAATGAAAAATAAAAAAGGTGAAAAAATAACTTTATATAAAAATGTTAATGATAATAAAAAGTGTTATTATTTACATGAGAATGAACAGATTGTAAATTACATTGTAAGAACTTTAAAAAAATGAAAAAAATATTAGATTTAATATTTATGACTTAGGTCTCTTTGAGATCTAGGGATCACATAGTGATTTAAAAAATCTTTACATTTATAAAAAAATGTATAAGAGAAGCATGTTTTTAGATTATGAAAAGCATGAAAAATATACAATAACTTTTAATATTAATTCAAATATAGAACATAGATCAATAAATGATAGACATATTAAAGTATTCGCACAAGAAGATTTTACAGTAAAATTAAATTCATACAATAACATTTCTTTAATGTGTGGGGTTAAAATAGATAAATGACATGTATTGATTTCACTTGCAGAAAATTATAAACCTACTCTAAATTTACTAAATTCTGTTGAAATAGAGTCTACTGATGATATTAAAATAACTTTATATAATAATGATAATAAAGATATAAACATTAAAAAAGGAGATTTGTTATGCTGTATTTCATCTTATAAAGGTGTTTTTTATGCAAATTATATATCAGAACTTGATAAAAAAGTAGAACAAGTTAGATCACAAAGGGACTCAGGAACTAAATCACAAAGTGATAAAGAATCTGTAAAATCTATATTATCAAGTATAGGGGGAATAGTTAAAGAAACTATATGTGATGAAGATAAACCTAGTATAGATAAATCGGCAAAGCTCTATTTGATTTTGGTAAATAAAAGTGATTTAAAACAAATTTTTCTTTATAGAAAAAAGAAATGCAATGTAATAAGAATGTAAACAGCTTTATCCAGATCTTAACCAGTTTTCAGAAAATCCATCTGCACCACCACTATCTGATCAGAATTTTAGATTAGTTAAAATAAATGAAATTCAAAATAAGATAGAATGTGAAAGGATTAGAAGAGAGATCTTAAGTAAAAAGTATCACAAATCTTTAAGAATAGTTTCAGCTATCGATAATTCATTACTAGCTAGTACAATGACACTTGGAGCTGTTGGTATTGGCTTTTTAACAACAATAGTTAGATCACCAGTAGCTATTGGATGTGAAATTGCAGCATTAGGTATGGGTGTATTATCATTAATAGGATCACAAGCTATTAAATAATTAACAATAAAAGCAGAAAAGCATGAAAAGATTAAAGTACTAGCTGATGCAAAACTAAATACAATAAGTAGTCTTATTTCTAAAGCTATATCAGATCAATATATTGATGATGTAGAATTTAATATGATACTTTCAGAACTTAAAAAGTTTCAAGCTATGACTGAACAAATAAGAACAAAATCTAAGAAAGATATAGATGAGCAGACTAAAGAGTCAATATTTAATAAAGGAGTAGAAAAAGGAACAAATGATTTTATAGAAGCGCTAAATATGAAATTTAATAAGAATCAAAGTAAAGGAGTGATAAATACTCTTAAAAATTAAAACATATATTATGAATTACTTGAACATATATTATGTATTACTTGAACATAATATATGTTAATTTGATCCCAAAGGGATCCAGGGATTGCAAAAAGCGATCTAAATAAAATTATTGCTTATATAAAAATGTATGCAAAAGCTACAGATATTGATACAAGATTAAAAATAGCAAAAGAACTTGCTAGTGTAAAGAAAAGTGTATATCAAGATTCTATTAATGAAAAGTTAGGTTATGATACTTTACAGACTAACTTGGAAAAATTGTACAAACCATTAATAGATAGTCAATCTGGAATAAAAGAAGGTATATCTAAATTAGAAAATAAAGCTGATCAAATAGCTAATACTTTTTCAAATTATCCTGCTTTACTAGATTCTGAAACTAAAGCAATCATGCCACCTGAAGTTGTAGATAAAATGTCGTTAGGACCTATCGCAACAGAATATTTAAAGTTATATGCTACTAAAAATAGTAAAAAAGTATCAGATGACATATTTGGTATACATTACAATGAAGGTAATGAAAAATTTTACATTGGTAAAAAACCAATAACTATTGAAGGTAATGATATAACTATTGAAGGTAAAAAATACACTGGTACACCTGGTCTTTGGGAAATCATAGTAAAATCTCATCCTGTTAGATATACTAACGATGATCGTAATAAGTATAAAGAAATTTTAGATCAAACAGATGCAATTCGCTCTGATTTAAATTCAGCTAAACCAAGATCATCTAGAAGTTATATGTACACTAATGTAATAAAACCTTTTTGGGAAGAGATGATTGGAAAGTAAATGTAAAAATAAAACAGATACACTCAACTTACAACATGCTGTGAGTAAAAACAATAGAAATATGCTATGTGGAAATTGTGCAATCTGCGGAACAAGAAAATGTCAATTTACAAAAGGAAAAAAAGGAGGTGACTTGGTAGAATCTATTAATAAATTTACAAGTAATAGAAAATTACCTTTGCAAAAGTTTCCTGGTGAAATGCATATACCAGGTATGAACTTTGCAGGACATGGTACTAATTTAGATGAAAGATTAACTTCTACTGAGATGCCTAAAGAATGGAGCATGCTTGTAGATCGAGTTGATAAAACAGCTTATATTCATGACCTTGCTTATAAACATTATCCAGACAAAGAGCATAGAAATTTAGCTGATAAAATGATGCTTGAACAAATGGATGCTATACCTAATCCTACACCACGTGAAAAATTGGAAAGAAAGATTATAAAACCTATCATATCTGCTAAAGTAAGGTTTGGTATGGAAAATAAAGAGCCAATGAGTATTAAAGAATTATGTCAAAAAAACTACCAGCGCAAAGAAAAAAAAGCAAAAACCTGAAATGGACTGATGAACTTGCAAATGAACTTCATAAACCAGTTATAAAACATTTTAGAAAAAGAAAAGTAATTGCAAACGGAATAGATGAAATATGGGCTGCTGATTTAGTTGACATGCAAGCTTATTCTAAATTTAATAATGGTATAAAATACTTATTAATGGTTATTGATATATTTTCAAAGTATGGATGGATTATCCCATTGAAAAGTAAGACAGGTATTGAAGTTGCTGATGCATTTAATAAAATATTTAAAGATAGAAAGTGTGCTAAATTATGGGTAGATAAAGGCTTAGAATTTTATAACAAGCATGTTAAAGCTTTAGGTGTTCATCTCTATTCAACTGAAAATGAAGAAAAAAGCTGTGTAGTTGAACGATGGAATAGAACAATGAAAGAAAAAATGTTTAAATACTTTTCTGCTAATTCTATTAGAAAATACATTGATGTTTTAGATGAAATGGTAAAACAATACAACAACACAAATCATTCTTCAATTAAAATGACTCCAGCTGAAGCAAGCAATAAAAAGAACGAAAATAAAGTTTGGTTAAATTTAAATAGTAAAGTAAGATCTGAACATAACAAGCTTAAGTTTACAATAGGTGATAAAGTAAGAATAATTAAAAAGAAAGAATTATTTGAAAAAGGATACACACCAAGATGGACTGAAGAAGTATTTACAGTATCACAAATTCAATACACAGATCCACCCACTTATAAAATAACTGATTACAATGGTGAAGAGATACAAGGTACTTTTTATAAACAAGAACTGCAAAAAACAAGTCAAGAGATATTTAGAATTGAAAAAGTTATTAAAAAACAAGGTAATAAATCATTTGTAAA